ATATATGATACCCAAGGCGAGAAGGCTCTGAAAATTTGAAAAATCGGAAAACGATGTCCTGCCGGGCCTTTGAGTCGCAAATGACCCGAGGATACACAAGATGATTTTAATTCTTCATTTTATACACCCATTAGATATCGAAAAGTTTGCTGTTCATTCAGACAACTTCGGAATATAGAAAAAATACTGTCTGTAGACCCACCTCAGACGATTCTGTTTCACTTTTCTCCGATAACGTCAATGCAGACAATCCATCGATTGGCGCTTCCACGACCGGACCAGCATCGTCAGAAGCTGAGCTCGACGTACATGTCGTTTCGCTCACATTATCATGCGATTGAGATGTTTCCGACGTTGTCGTCGACATTCGCTCGAGGTCTCGTGGATCGACAATTTCTAGTGGTCGTGAACTTCGCGGAAGTGACATGATGTATTGTTGAAGAGCACATTTGGCCAAATCGACGGACTGCAATAAATTTTGCTGCACCGAGAATGGAAAATTTTGCACAAAAGTAAGGTAGCATGGTAGTGCAGTTGCACAGATTTTCTGCACCGTAGAAATTGTAAAGTAAGGATTGAATAAGTGCACGTGGAAAAGATAAATAGATTCTACCGAAATTGTGCATTTTAAAAGTTTCTAGCGAAAGCAGGAATGAAAATAAAGGGTAAAACCAGCAGATTTCACTAGAAAATTTTGACTTTCTAAAACCAGGAATATGAAGGCGTCTGCGAATTTCACCAAAAAATACGACTATCTAAAGCCAAAAATGTAAGCAAAATATATGTTATCCTATTATTCACTCACCGGCGCTAAGAACGTGTTACAAACAATCGTTGACGGTGGTTGCTCTGGTTCTTTGTATTCGAGAACGAAACTCTGGATCAATAAATCAATAACCACTACTCTCACAAAATCAAAGCTGAATTCGGCATACTCACTTTCAGCCAATTTCTATATTGTAATTGTTCCTGAGTAAACGGCATGATTAATGACATCATACTTCCCTTGTAGAACCGCCGCCATTCGGCGCCACATCGTCGGTCACGGATGAACACACCTTTGAGAATCTAAAAACGAGTCTCGTTCGAGATTACAGCACTGAGATCGCGATTAAAGGCATTGTCCAGGTATATTGGAAGGTAATGGGATCTTGACGCAGTCTTAGTGTCCAACTCCTA